AAACAAATCAATAAGATGCATCTGGGTAACATCATTTCCACTCCTGTTATTTGTGGGAAGGCGGCTATTCAGCGCAGTAAAATTTCCATTAGAGGCAGGCCAATATAAAAAAAGAAAAATAAAAACGCCCCACTTTGGAGATTTTTATTTATATATATATATATATATATATATATAAATAACAATCTGACTGAAAAATCTCCAATATTAGTAAAAACGTTATGGCTTTAGTGGCCTTCCCTTCTTCTACAACAACAATATCAGGAAAGGACATCACAGACTACAATTACAAGGGAGTCCACAGAGGCCGGATTATGACAGTCTTATCTCCATACAACACCAGAAGTAAAGTATTGATTTTCTGCCAAAGAACATCACAGTCAAGAGAGATGTGCCATGCTAGTCAAAGAGCCATGCACCCCCAGGGGCGTGATGGAAGAGCATAAAGGAGGGAAAAGAGGCAGAAAGCAATAACAGGAGTCCTGTGGGGAAAAGGGGGGGGGGCAAAGCATTGCTGACAGAACCAGGGGAGGCTTAGAGGACGTGGGACAAAAAAAATATATGAAGCCACAATCTGACTGCTTGCATTTTAGGTTCCTGAGTATTTGAGACGGGACTATTTGAATGCAAATGACTAAAGTGGATGCACTTTTGTATATTAATCAATTTGTAGGATGTTACAGGAGTTCACAGTGAAGCACAGCTGAAAACAAATGATTCATTTGTCAAACTAATTCGCAAACCTTTAAAATGATTTAAGCAAAAATGCTAAATATTCAGTGTTTGCATCTTCTCAAATGGGAGAATTAGCTCTTTCTTTGCAGTTTTATATATTGTAAACTTATTATTTTGACTGTTGGTCGGGCAGAGTTAGCTCTCTGAAGGCATCACCTACACTGGGGCTGTGCTTTCTGACATCTGATCGACCAACTCATTTAACAAGTAAGAAAATAATCAGTAAGCTGACTGATTAAAATGAAATCGCTCACTACTTGCACCTCTAAACTAAAACAGATATGAAAAAAGAAGCTGCAGTACAGTAAATACATCACAGTGCAGGTGTGTTCGCTGCAGATGCCGGGCTCCTCCCACAGAAAGATCAAGACAAACAAGGTTTCAGTATCATTAACTACAATTAACCATTTTGATTAGCTGCTCAAAATTATGACCATCTTGATAATTAGAAGAAAGAACATTCAGGCCTCCATTCGATAGCTCTTGGCGTTATACTGTAGTCAAAGTAGCGTTCCTGGGGTTTGGACTGTTTTTCAGATGAATCAAGACCTTTGATGACAGAGCTTGGGCTCTGTGACAACTATTTTATTGCCCAAAACAACAATCAAGAAAAGGATCAGCTGATTAAATCATGAAAATCCTCAGCTTTAGAAATGTTATCAACTCAAAAGCAGCAGTGACACCTACAACTACACTCATGGTCAGTAAAGTAAATGTAGGTCTTGTCTCTAATTATAAATACCAAACAAACAAAGACCCCCCCCTCTAGCACCTTCTGTACTGATTTTAACCACAGCAACCCTTTGGCTTCTTTAGTGTCGCTCAACAGCTGTGAGGTGATATAAGTGAATTATGCACCGTTGCGTCCTGAAGAGTAAAATACTGCAGCTTCTCTAGTGTTTTTAGAACAATGAAACTACAGCAGTGACATCCTGAACCAAAACCAAATTCATTTTGAAAATTGCTCGTTTCAAATTGGATGAACCGTAACCAAACCCATCAACCAATTAAATCTCCTCCTCTGTTTGCCAAATTTGTCAGTGGTTACAACTGACAACAGCCTCGTGCTGGCACAGCAGCCTGTTTGCTGGCAGCCCTCCATTCACTCATTGTCACCAAGGTCAGGGATCCAGAAACATAACCATCACTCTGCCTGCACAAGTGACAGGCAACATCTCTGCCAGTTGTTTGATCCAGTTTTATAATGTAAACTACTTCCTCTGAAGCAAAGGAGACTCGCAATTACCAGGATTTTCTAATTCAGGATTAAAACTCAAAGAGGAAAACAACAAACAGTGGCTAAGAGCTCAGGTGTTTCTCTTTGCTTCTCTCTCAAGGTCAGCCAGTGCACCATCTTTTCCAAGCTCCTTTGAAAGCAGGATAATACGGCGGTGGTGGAGGAGCCCCTGAGGTGTCAGTGGAGGCGACTCCAAAAGATGAGGTTAAGATGTGGAAACACATCAGCCATATCTGAGCAGCGGTCGGCAGCATGTCATTTTCTCCTGGCGCTAACCACGGAGTCAGCAGAGGCATGAAAACAGTGTGGAGAATAAGGAAAGGTACAAGATAATATCTGAGTTACAGACTACACAAACAAATATGTTCTACCACAGTATTTGATTATATCCAGTACAGATGCAGCTGCACTTCAGGGATGCTTGTGCAAGCTAGAACAAAAGAATACATTTATAATAATGTCAGTAAAAAGTGAACATTATAAATTTAAGGCAGAGTTTGGTTTATATTATTCAAGTGACCTTAAGGTTTAGAAAAAGAACAAAAACTGGAAAACAGGAAACTGATTTCACACAATTATCAAAGCACTACCTACATTTTTCAGATTTCTGGAGAGAATCCAGACATAAAACTATGGAAGGATTCATTTATTTCATGAGAAGCTGCTGCACCATGACACTAATCCAAGCTTCACATTATTTTTGCACTTGTAATTTATCTAATAAAACCACAGCACTACACTTTTACATAAATGACATTCATGATGCCATCACAAAAGTCTCCTGCAGGCTTCTGGGTCCCCATGACTTCACAGCCTCACCTGAGAGATGAGTGTTCTCTCTATTAACTCCTGACAGAAGCTGGGCTCTGACTGCCAAAGAACCTTTGTATCACATTCCCCACAGTGTCAAGGTGACCTGACAAATGTCACAGAGGAAGAGTCTTGCAAGCATCCACATCTGTCTAGACAGTCAGACCCAAGTTCTTTCTATCATACTGTAGTTTAATCAGTATTGGTAGGTGACTAGAGACCCTTGATCCTCCATATTCAAGTGTTCTTGAGCAAGAAGTAGAACAGCTGTGCGGAGTGCTGCTGCGTTGTGACTGTCGGCAACCGAAAGAAATGTTTCCATTCAGGTCAAGTTGTAAAACTTAAACCTGATGCACCACTTATCCACAATTATGCTACAGGAAGTCATGTAGTCATTCACTCTGCAGGAATCAAAGGGATTAATCTGTGGCTTTTACAAGCACAAGGAAACAAACACTGTTAAAGCACTAGCGCCCCCCAGTGCAGGGAGCGAGTGCAGATGTTTTGCACTTAAAAGTATTTAAAGATGAAATCATTAAAATCATGTATTTGTCAAGTCAATTTATTTATATAGAAACAACCAGTGTTTTAATGGTCTGTGTTTCATGCTGTACTAGTAAGTCTAATAAATACAGAGCCACATATTGTTGTGGTGGCAGTTACTGCTGCAAAAAGGGTCACCATGATGTCATGTGACAACCAGCTCGATCCGGTCTGGTTCAGGTTACAGTGTGTTTTTCTGGGTCGACCCTCTAAGATTACCAACCGTTCAGTTGCCCACTAACCAAAATACACTCTCACAGCTACCGTACAAGCGCCTGCACACATACTCACATACTCACAAACTTCACATACTTCCTATTACATTAACCAGTAGCACACATGCACTGGGAATGACTCGCAGCTCCACAGCATTGGCTTAGCCTCTGATCGCATCTCTCTCTTCAGAGAACAAGATCACGGTAGAGCGGTGTCTATCAGTGTCGTCTGACAGAGCGGGACCATGCTGAAGGTCACCTCTGTCATCATGACTCCAGTCAGTCATAAATCAAATGAATCCAAACTAGAGACCCACCTGGTTTTATCCTGTTTTATTTTTTTTTTCTCCTCAGTTATGTGGATTTGCATGTTTAAGCATTTAGACTTCAAACACATGCTAAACAAGTGACAATCTGAAATAGTTGTGTATATTTAATTAGCTATTAATAAATAAATATATAAATCACTGTATTTATGAAGCACTTGTCAAAACAGTGCAGGAACGCGTTTTATAAACCTGCAGCAGTGATGGACAACAACCATTAACAAATCACACAGGTCATTCATTAAAACCGATCAGTCTCACTACACAAAGTAAAAGGGCTTGAAGCAGATGTTTGATCTCAGCCCACAGACAGCTGCTGTACATTGCCTGAAAAGGTTTGAACATGATCATGTTGTTCAGTAGTTTTATTTATCTGCTGAAAGAATCACTGACTGTATAGAAAAGTCTGGCCATCACAATCTTAGTAGTGCTTCACTCCAGCTAATCCAAACATGAGCAAAGAGGTGGAGCGCTAGCCACCAGTGGCAGGAGCCTGTCACTCAAAGTAGCTGTTCCCTTCATTATGTATACATTTTATCCTTAATATAATTTAAGCAGGAGATGTTAAAGACATAGAAAGGGAAATTAGCTATAGAGCCCAAAACCATTTTGGTACCAGGCTGTACACGTTTGTTTCTGCTGTAAAGTTGAGCACTTTAACATTGGAGTCTATGGGAACTGACTCCCTTTTGGAAACAGCCTCAAGTGGCCATTCGAGGAACTGCAGGCTTCAGTTGTCCCCTTGGAAAGAACTGTCCTGGACATTATGTACTGAAGAAAACACACAGTACACAAAAGAACTGGCTGTTTGTAGTTTATCTGTCTACTAATAAAGAAAACATCTGAGACGTGCACAGAAGCAGCAGCCCAGCAGGGATCAGGTGTGTAAGACCCGAGTCCACACACACACACACACACAGGTATATTATAATTTTACACTGACGTCTGTTATTATTTGCATTGCTTACTAAGTTAAATACTGAGATATTGTGGTTACAGTATATGTAAAATATCTTAACAAAAGTCCCTTAATTTCACAAAGATGGGTTTTTCCCCGACCGAAAGACGTGGCAGCCTTCTTCCTGGCTGAGGATGTAAAATACTGTGGCAGGGGTCATGATGTACAGTACTCACCAGGCTGGAGGTGAGGGAGGGGTCTGACTTTCCCAGATTCAGGGAATGCATACGGCTCAAGTTAGAGGTCTCAGATGACGGGTGCCATGCCGTCTGTGTCAGCTGGGGGTTGGAGGGTAACAGGAGGTACTTTCCTATAGAAAAAGAACAGGAGGCTCAGTAATGCTGAGAAAAATGATGACCAAAGTTTATCCACTACCACTGGCAGAAAGTACTTCTACACAAATACTATACTTAAGTTAATTTTTGAAGCACTTAAAGCTACAGTACATTTTTCTAATATCTTGTCAAAATATGTTCCAAAAAACGCTTAACGTGGAGAGGTGCTGACTCAGCCTCACTGATTTCACAAGGAAACACTACTTTTTAGCTCAACTACATTTATTTGACAGTTTAAGATATTACACATTTACACTTACACATTATAAAGTTAAAGGTTAATCCAGCACATTAAGAGGCCACAATCCCAACATTACATAACCACAGTACCAGGACACAACAAACTCAGATCAAATAACACTGAATGAATAAATAAATCCACTTTAAGCTCCCGTAAGTGGCCACTAGATGGCACTAAGTGTTACTTCTAGCATTCATCCACTTTCATCCATCCTCTTTTATTCTGAAACCTCAGTACATGAATGCTAGAAGAATCAAAAACAGCCTCAGCAGCTCTCCTTGTACTACTGCCACTATGAATTGGAAAATCTTTGACATAAGTGTTTTTCTTTTATCTACATGTGTATATTCCCATTTTTCTGTTTAAATGCGCACTCCAGGAGACAGTAAATTAAGGAAGATAAGTCAACTGCGCTCGTAACACACAGGGAATATCCCCGGTTCATTGGGCCTATTGCTGGTACGTCTCTTCATCAGATATGCTTTGAGGGGCCAGCTTTATGAAATCCCTGCCCTGCTAATAGCAAAACCTGAAGTGGGAAATTACAGGATTTCAGACACTTCTAATGATTCAGAGGAAGTCAGGCTGACATTTCTCTGAAATAATATAATGAAAAATATGAGGTGGTGACAAAGTCAGCGCGGGAGCTGGTACGTCTCTTCATCAGATATGCTGGGCTTTGAGGGGCTCAATGAGCAATCTGTCTTACCTTAAGTACAAGGTCATTCAAAGAAGGCTAGGACTTTCTACAGTAGCATGGATGTAAATAGTCATTTCTATATTTTCTTTTGTTTAGTCCTAATTAAATCACTAATTAGTTAAGTGTCCATCGTACCACCATCACTTTGCTGTGTTAGCTCATCGATGCTTGCCTTCTTATTGTGGACATCTATCTGTTGTCGTTTTCAAACCTGCCTCTGGCCTGGTTGGCTGTTCCTCCAGTCGATGGGACCAGCCATTTAAATCAAACAAATCAGAGATGTGGGTGGTAAACTAAAGGCTAGCGGCTTCCATCAAGGTTGCCTGCTGCATGCTGAGTTGTTTAACTGTACTGCAGTAAGATTAGAGAAACGTAGCGCCTTGCATTGCAAACACAGAGTTTAGGGTCGACCAAAAACTAAGGACAGGATTCTGTGATCAGACCTTACATAATAAACATGTGAACATTTCTGCCTGCTGTGTTACAGACATCCTCACTGTTAACGTTGATAACTGCAGTAACACCAAGAGAACTGAAAGGAGACCAAACAGGATGAGGAGGGAAGAGTGTGGGCCTTCCTTCCTAACCGGCAAACGCTTTACTCACTAGAGGATCATCACATCCCGGCATAAAGGAAACCTCGTCAGACAGCAGTCAACACTTTTAGAAAGTGTTCATTTTTTACATTCTGCTCTGGCGTTTGCAAGGTCAGACTGTGCAGTTCCCAGCCTTGTGCAGACGCTCATTTCAAGCAGGCTTCTCCGCTCACACGTGTCACTATTCTTCATCATTATACAGTTGAATATTTCATGTCTTAGCAAAGGTTCCTCACGGTGGATTTCAAGGTTAAGCAAAGCTCCGTCTTTCAAAACAAGTTACCTCAGTTTTCAAACATTACAACTACATTTAATCACATTATTATTCCTTCACACAGAGAAAACACTTTATTGCTCAAGGGAGATTAAAACCTGATACTGATCTTTTATTACATTTATTACGGGCTGACAGAGGGTTTTCATTGCGGCATAAAGATTAGACTGCACTCATCTGATAACCTATTTTTCTCAGGACCACAGTTTCAAAGCAATTTCACTTCATGTCCTACACACAACATTTATCAAGCCAAGGGTCGTGCTTCCCTGGTGCAGGAGTGAATTCAGAGGTATGCTTAAGCTAAACAATGCATTCATCTGACTTGAAGCATCTCTACACCATTTAGTGGCCTTTCCTAAAAGGTATGTGCCCTGTGCCAGCTGCAAGTACAGATTAGCTATAGTGCAACAATAAATCATACTAAAAATCAATACCAGGAAGAAAGCCCTGTCAAATTCCATCTCAAATTAGAAACAAATGCACCACTCATTTTGCCTTAATAGCATATTCACACATAAAACAGACCATGAGTTTGAGGTCTTCCAGCTTTTTGAACTGAGGCAAACAGAGAAGTTGCTCATCTGTAGTTGACCAGAGTGAATCTACCCTCATACACCCCTCTTTGGGGCCAAATAATGAGTCAACATCATTTAACTCGCACACTGAGCTTCCATATGAATGCTCTCCCATTCTAAGGCAAATTTAATTGTGCATTATTGGCTGTCACTGAGGACAGACTCCTATTCATTTGTCCAGAGGCAGGTTTAAACTGGGCATTTTAACCATTTCTTGCTCTTCTCTTCCTGAGTTTGTCCAGCTATTAGACATGATTTGTTACTGGAAACTCTATGCACCCGTTTCCAGTTGTGTCACACCCTCTTCAAACCAGTGAGAGGAGCAAAGACAAAAACAGGATAAACAGAAGAGAAATCTCTCAAGTGAAATAAACACAACTGTTCCAGCTGGTTGAGAAAAGCCTTCAAACCCATAGTGAATGTTGGCAAAGTTGATCTTGAAACAAGACCCTGAATGTTGTACAGGTCTGGAGGGTGTCCAGTTTGGGGACACCTGGGTCATGTCTCCGTTAGCTGCACATAATCATGTGATCCTATGTGTTTCCTCTGACTTTTGAAGGGTGTTTTGCTAATTGTGACTCTGTCGTTGTTGTATTTCTTAAGCAACCCTCCTCTCAGAGTCTGATGGCCACTAGTTATCAATATTTGCTGCAACTAAAAAAACCAAAGATGTTTAAATGTACCATTTTCCCCACAAAGGTAGGAAACACTGAAAGCTGTTCACTGCAGGGTCTGCGGATTGTTCTGAGCAACCAGTGCAGTTTCTGGAAACTCATTTTTCATTGCTTTGAGCGCTACAAGTGAAATTCAACTCGCCTTTGTTGTATTGGGAAGGCAGCACAAGTCAGAGATGTCAAAGTCACAAGAAGCAGAAACAAAACGACCTCCGTGGCTGGACATCACTAAAGGTAAGAGGAGAAACATCTCTTTGATGAGAGTGAACAGAGTCTTTAGACCCAGTGTTTTAACTTCCCATTAAGTCCTATCTATGTATTTTTAAAGCGACAGATGGTCACTGGTTTGGGTTCATTACTGTGATCAGGACATAACTCATTCTTCTCCCTCCAGGGTCGGCCAGTGCAGACTAATCTCCAAGGTGTGAGAAACACTGGAAACAACATGAGCTTGCATGTTTGGTTACATACAGTGAGATTAATAACAGTAACCATAAATCAGGCTGCACAGGAGTTCCACTGTAAACAGCAGACCAACATATTGAACCAACATAATCCCTCCTCCCAAGTGGAGCAAAATAAATGACATTTCACATAAAATTAATCAATCATGTGGGTTATTAAAAAGCATTTTGAGCTGTGGCTAATTAAGACCCTGTTCAACAAAACTAACTTTATACATTTATCATGTGTCTGCCATGAGTTGAAAACTGATTTAGAACTGCACAAGAAATTAAGACCATATGTATGAACATCAGTTGCTTATAAATCTATCAACTGGCCAATGTGGAAAGACCGTGCATGAGGTCAGTACCTGTGAGACCACCCCCGAGACTCCTCCTTCGAATGTTTTTTCCATCCTCACTGAGATATCGCATTAATTTGAGAGCAGGACTGAATCCATGAGTCAGCTCTGGATTACTCGCCTTCCTGTGGGACAGGGAAGGAGGGTAGAGGATGTCGTCCAGCTGAAGGAAAAGAAAGGAGGAGTCAGTGGGTTATACAGTTAAGGTGACTTTTGTAGACAGAACTATAGAAGGACACAACACTTTCCAGAACTCTACTGTATTCCCAGAAGACAATGACCTTTCATGAAGCTCAGGCCACAGAACAATACCCAGTGGTGTGAGGAAGAGGCCCTTCCTGAGAACACAAAGATACGCACAGCTCTGAGCATTATGTGGAAGGAAATGCACTTTGCTCCTCCAAGGGATGATTCATGACCCTAGTACTCCTCAGGACAACTAACTAACTCTTTAGGACGGCCTGACCTTTCACTGACTGTAGAAATGTAGCAAAACAGTGATACTGTACAAACACAGGTAAGCTTTTCTCTAAATATCATGGTTCTGCATTACTCATCAGTACTAAAGACAGTAAATAACCTGAAATCAAACTGATCAGTTGTTAACATCGAGATCTCCAGGCCAGTAATGTCAAAACTCAGTGTCTGAAACACACTGCATCACTAATGGGAAGAAGAAACACTCCTGTTCCCAGATACAAGCCTCTGTCCAAACCACAGCAGTTCATGAAGAGGGGAGAGAAGACAGGGAGCCGCTGGCAGGACAGTTTTTATTATATAACCTCATGCTGTGGAGTACAGTAAGAAAAGACGACTTCATTTCCCTCTGTGCAGAAGATTGTAAGACGAGCAGATCAATGTTAGGAGGCGACTTGACATTTTCACATCAGTCTTTTCCTCACTACTAGCTTTCCAATTTGAAAATGATTAATCTTGCGATGTTGCATAATCTTGATTTCAATTCAGACTCCTACACAATTTTCATCTTCACGTGACAACGATTTAGCCGTGTTTACATTACATCAAACCGAGCGCTCCCTTTTCCTCACCAGGCTGTGTCAACCAATAACAGGAATGTGTTGCATCACGTGATGGGCTGTGCACAGGAAGAGAAGACCGAGTCAAAAGAAATCTGACGTTGACGACAGAGGGAGGCAGCATGCAAGCAGCGATTTGCAGCCCCCAGTGGTAACACAATGAACTTGAACGTCACCACCAACTACAATACGATAAAGTCTAAATACAAAAAAGAAGAGAAAGTTCCAGGGACTTAAGGTGGAGGACAAGCCAACGTGCATAACTACAGCCAGTGGATCCAATGTTGTGAAAGTGGTCTCCCTGAATAATTGGACTGACGGTCTGGGCCACAGGCTGCATCGAGCTGTACCTGTGAGAGAAAATCATGATTCAATTCTAAATGAAAATATATATAATGACTCATATTTCACCCAGAAGTGTGCAGCCCTAACACACAGAGTTTGGAGCTGTGTCAGAATGAGTCTACACAGCAGTAGTCTCTCTGTGGTCATCTAAAATTTACGTTACATAACTAACTACCACACACCCACTGCCTAATATTTAGCCAGGACACAGCGACTCTCCAGCCTGAGGCAGAGATGCCAAATGTTCATTTGTACTTTTGTTTCAAATGATTTGGTAAAAACTCTGGTTACAGAAAAAAATACCTTCAATCTCTGAAAATCTACACCCTAATTAAAAACTAATGAACATTTAGAAACCAATAAGCTGCCTTGACAGGAAACCAACTCCATGTATTTGAAATACACCTGGACAGGTTGCCAGTCAATCACAGGGCTGACACACACACACACACACCTACAGGCAACTTAGAGTCACCCAAGCCTAGCGTGCACGTCTGTGGACTATGGGAGGAAGAACCTGGCAGAAACCCACAACATGGAACCTCTGCACAGAGGCTGACCAGCAGTTTTGAATCCAGAACCTTCTTGCTGTGAGGTGACTGTGCTAATCACCGTGCTGCCTTTTGTGTAAAATTTCTAATTGTCCCAATTCACATCATTAAACAGAATCAGATAAACTTCTTCCACGTTCTGTTCTTTGTCCTGTAAATGTGTTGTATATAAATAAAAAAATCTGATCAGCTGTGTCACGTCTCAACTTCTTTCATTTTCAGTCTATCACATCATATATTAGCAAGCTCACGTTAGTTTTGTCAGTTGATTCGGTCTGTTTGCTCAGGTACACCTGACAGTTTGTATATTAATTTCATAGTGTGCAAATCCCAACTTGAAGTTTGAACCTACGAACAGCTGCTACAGCGGTCTCCAGCTGTTTAAAGGCATTTACTTTCACTTGATTATGTGAACATGGAATATCAATAAGCATTTAAAAATGAAGGACATGGCTTCTTGTATGTGAAACAGGCAAATACATCTGCCCACTTAGAAGAGCCAGGAAGGCAGCACACAACACACACACTGATTGTATAAGCCTTGTAATCCTTCGCCTTCATCCTCCTACCTCACTTGATGCACCACAGCAGAACTCTGACAGTGAAAACGATGGCACGCTGCCAAAGCTGGTCACATTCATCTGATTCTGTTTGGTCGACCAAGGTTGGACATCATTATCATGGTAATTTGTAAAACTATGTTGTCAGTTCAATGCATTAAATATCATAGGACAGCCTGACAGTAACTCTGGTATTAAGAGATACAAGTCGAATTACTGCTGGTTCACAACATCTGCAGTGCTTTTAGGAATGGGTGTCAGCCCTTTACATGCCTGTACACTGCAGTTTTGGCAGCAGCCGGTGCCCTTTCACCTACCAGTCCTCTCTCCCTGCAGCAGAGCTCCTGTAAGCAAGATCAAATCTGACTTGCCCCTCCTTCCTCATCCTCTTTTCCACTTTCAGCTACACACACACACACACACACACACACACCAACAATTCTCTGTTGTCACAGCAAAGAACAGACGACAAACAGGTGAAACAAAGATGGACCACACAGCACATGAAGTCATTACCGAGTGAAAGATGAGTCAAGTTCAACCTGTGTGACAACCTGTGGTTTCACTTCTACATTAGTATGCGTTCACTTTTTTTGCCATCCCATCATCATGTGCAGTGAGAATATTGACAAAATAACCCTGTCACTTTAATTGTGCACGTATTGCATCTGATGCCCCTGAGGTCAATAATCCCACGTTGACGACAACATCCCTTTAGCCTAAAACTAAACAGCCCCCTTTTTAATATTTCCTGTCACTCAAAAAGTCAGCTGGCTGCTGTGGCCTTAGACTAACTACACTACGAGAGCAGTGAGAGTGAACCAAAACAGCTGCAGGCCTGAAACCTGGCTCTGTAAAGCCAAGTGGAGCTGCAGGCTCATCACTGTCAGTGTTTTCATTGTTGTTTGATACATTATTATTTTAACTTTCAATAATGAGACTTCAGATAAACTTGTCTGACATGAAGTTTCAACAATGACATAAATCAAAGCATCAGCAGAGCCTTTGCTCCTGTTGCCGACCGTCACCAGCTACACTCGAGACACTTTTTCTATACACAGCCTTACAGCTACCCAAACAAACTGAAAAAACAAAAGGACAGAGCAGCAGGAAGAGCAGCGTAGCCAACACAAGGATGAAAGAGCAGGGCTGCACAGAGGGACGCTGTCCCCAAGGTTGAGTAATAAATACTCCAGTAGCAAAAGCCAAGGAAACGCATAAGTGCATGTGGTCAAAGCTATGAAAACAACATGAGGCACATTAAAAACTAATTTCACAGTTCTCCTGCTACTTTTGTCCTCAACAGATGAGTGTACACTTCAGCATGGTTCTGCATTTCAAAGGTGAAGTGGGTTCAGTCACGGTTTCCACATTTAAAAGGAATGAGGGGTGACTTGGAGTGTTGTTTATCATTTCACTGAAATGGATGAAAGGAACCTTTTAGAACTGCTATCAACGCCTGTCGTTGGTTGCTAAGACACAGTGAGTGCACATTTACAGTGAAACAGGAAGCGGGAGCCCATGCATCAAAAAGGTACAACTCCTTTCCTCTTCCCAGTCATCAGTGTCCTTTGTTTCACTCATCACGGTCCTTGTTATTCTGAGTCACGTTTCTCAGTTCGAGCTGTTACCAACAGCTTTAAAAGGTGACAATCACACTCCGTCACTCAGACTTGGGTTTCATCCAGAAACCTCTTCTTGCTGACAAAGTCAAGACACAGCCTGCTCTACGCTAACACAGACATGAGACACTGCAGCTTTTAATACCAGAATCTGAAACTCCCTGAGGTTGCATTTCCAGCTACACCGCAGCGAGTGGTAGCTGTTACATAATCGCTCTTCATCGTGGCTGGCATTCTAATAGAATGAAATGTCATCAACCAACTAGGCAGCTCAACTTCATTTACTTTTTATTCCAGTATGTTCAAAGCAGTTCAGTGCAACAATGATTCTAAACAGCCCGCCTTTTCTGATGAAGCCTGTCCAAGCTGCTGCTCCAGATTCTTGGCAGGGCCTGTAACAGTGGTTCATGAGAACTCATACTGGGTCAAACTCAGAGGACATGTTTTTACTGATGCTTCACGGTTCCCCATTCCTCTTTTCATCAGCTACTCTAAGTCAAATAACTTTACAGATGGCAGGAACCCTCATGCACACTGTTCCTGCTCGCTGTGCTTGGCTACGGTCACAGAGCTATGACTGGACGGGTTTAGTGGACAGTCAATCGGTTGAAGAAACCTATAAGAAGAGGACTGTTCTTACTGCTTCTCTAAACACTGAAAACCTAGATTGTTTTGCTTTTTATACGTGCACGGCTCCTGACACAGACACATGCTGTGCTTACATAATGTGATGATCAATTCATGCAGCTCTCATATCCTTATGAGCTGTGCTCAGTGAACTCTTGAGAACGAGACCATGTTCGTTGTGCTTTTCTCAGGGTCGGCTGTAGAGAAAACTATGTTCTGGCCGACCTCGTCACCCAATATCTGTCTTGTTCAACTGTTACCGAGTTCCAGTCTGTGTTCTCAGCGTTTACTCATGAGGGCAACAGCATACTTAAGTCTCAGTACTCAAATGGAAATAACTTTGTGATCGAAACTCTCCACAGGGTGCTCGACATCTCAGTCATGTGATGGACACTGAAGTTTTCTCCTTATACTGGCATGG